AGTGTGTGTAAACAGTTTCTTCGATTAATAAAATAGAAGTTTATTGATACTTAAAGAGAAACTACGTTTTAATTTACTTGAACTTTGGGCATGGCACTAGTGTCAAATTTGAAACTTGAATCTACTTGAAATTTCAAGTTTCAAGTTTCAAGTTTGACATATATGGCTGGGTATGGATCGGTGCCTGCCAGACCTTTTTTTTGTACCACATCTCCACCCACACCCACACTTACATACACGCCTCAAAACCGTTAGTGCAGCTCTGCTGTGAATTCTTGTATATATTCAGTAACTCTTTTGATATCATCATTTGATACGTAACAAAATACTTATTTGAATCAGAAAGATTGTAGAGCAACTCACTATCTACTCATATCATTAATCTGCCATGACAAAACTTCTTCATTGAACATGATACATTCTTTCTCTTGGTCTTCATTAAACATTCTATAATATTTGTCTAATTGTTCTAAATCAGCATCGGCTTTCTTCACGACACGGCGCATTCGCAATAGACGACGATTAATATCTCTCACCAATGAATTGTGGTGAACGCCACTATATTGACTGTAATTAAACGAATAGATTATTTTGTATAGTTTAAACGCTTCTTCATAATTTTTAAATGCTGTCTCATATTCTTTTAATTCCTCGTATATGATACCTATACGATGACACAATTTTGCAGCATTGAAATCATCTTTTGGTACGGTTTCCAAATAAATTTTCAGAGCTTTTCCGTCAAATGTTAGGGCTATTTTGTATTCGTTGTAATAATAATGCACATTTGCGATACTCTTGTAACTTTCAGCTAAATCAAGGTGTTGTTTGTTTGTAGTACTTAGTGATTCTCGTATTTCTATTGACATCTTGTTATAAAGCATTGCCATATCATAATCTTTCTTCATTTCATAAACATGACCAAATTTATGATATGTACTGGCTATGTGAATGTTTTGCGCATCGCCATAACATTGTATTTGAATCGTTAAAACTCGTTCGAAGTTCACCAAGGCTAAATCATAATCACCTTTCTTCACATATTCAATAGCTAAACGATTGTATGTAGCTTCTGATGGATAAACCGTGGAAGCAAGTTTGACTATACCACGTGCGAGCGGATTACCTTGTTTATTCTCTGTACTTTGGCATTTCACTTCCTTATAACGATCAATCTGAACATATGAAAGAGCATGCTTCGTTTGATCTGTTGCAATTCCCATTTCAAAAAATAATGATTCAAGATCGTCCAATCTAGTTTGTGAGGGGAACTCTTCTTTCCTATATCGATACAGTTCTTTTAATTGATGTACATGTTTATTGGAGAGTTGAAGTTTTAATATATAGATTTGTCTTTCTTCGTCTCGTTTTACATCCAATATACGAAAGACCGTATCCAACATAAACAATATATCGTCTTCTTCCTTGCCGAAATCACTCAAATGAGAGGTGGGTGCATAAGGTTACAATGATTGTACACTAGTGTCAACTTCAATATCGTAGAGAATGGATTGCCATTCATCATTCATATCGTGTGCTGACGTGAAGAATAATGCTACCTGTTCTTGTTCGCTAGTCGAAAAAAGTGAATTAACAGAAATATACTGGCCAAGCTCGTTCTGTAATTGTTGTAGTTCATCTTTAGACATTAGTTGTCCACGATATACATGAATTACTGGCGTGGGTGTGGGGTATGGGTGTGGGGTGTGGGTGTGGGGTGTGGGTGTGTGCCGGTGTGTGGGTGGGTGTGGGTGTGAGTGTGGTTGAGGGTGTGGGGTGGGCGTGGGTGTATGGGTGCGGATGTGGGTGTGGCTGAGGGTGTGGGGTGGGTGTGGGTGTGGGTGGCGTGTGGCTGCAGGCTTGCGTGTGCGTGTCGGCGAAGAGAAAAAGACATCCAGACACACACTGACACCCATACCCACACCCCACATCCACACACCCACACCCCACACTCACACCCACACCCACACCCACACACCCACGCCCACCGACCCACAAAAGATATCACAGACTAACTATTTCATGATGATTATAAATCTTCCGTTTTCTTTTTTCTTCTTTACCTTCTATCTTATTTCCTCTTATCGTCATGTCATTCTTAACTTCTGTTTTATGTGTTAACCTTACTTTGTCAACCTCATTTATAGGGACAATAAAATTACATGTCAAAAAAATTGCGGGGTAGCTTGAAACTCATTGATAAACTTTTTGATAGCATGATCGAAAGACAATGATTCAACGTTTAAATGTTCTCGATGTAATGGATTTCTATCGTGTTTTGTATCCGAACAACAATGGCTTCTTGGTCATAAATATGACTATCTTCAGTTATATGAATGGACTGCGAAATAATTCAAAGGTTATCGAGAAAACTAGTCAGTCACTCAAATCTAAAAAAGTTATGCTCTAAAATAGGTTTTTTCCAATCTAAAATAAACGAAGAGGGTAATATGATGTGTGGTTTGTTATGACTGTTTGTTTCATTCTTGTGTCAACAAAGTAATAATAATAGCGATGACGCAATTCATGAAATTTCATACGCTGAATTGACACGAAATCTTTGAAGCGTAAGTGTAGAGAAGAAATTGGAATTCAAGTGCAGATCAGTAAGATTGTTTTGAAAAATAACTGAATTTGGTTGGAGAAAATTGATCTGAGCGCACTTAATGAGTGTCATTCATCATGTGTACAGTCTAAGTTGAGTGATCTTTACTCTATAGACACTAGACGATCTAAAAGATTTTTTTCGCTAATATTTCATTTGAAAGATAGAACAGTTTTTATAGTTATTCTAACAAAAAATATGGTAAATAGAAACATCCATAACTCAGTCAATAATAGACTTAGAATTCTAAAACTTTAACACAATTAACTTGACTGAATCCACACACAACATTTCAATTTTCTAGCTTCCCTTCTCACTGAATTACAGAAATTTCAAGCTCGTCACAGATTTGTTATCGAAATTCAGCTGCTCTAGCTCATTAAATTTTAGTCCAATAAATTCAAACTTTTAGAAGAAAGATATTTTACATATTTAAACATGCTCATATTGTGAATACATTGAATAATGAGTGCCGATTTTTAAATATATAAAAAATCAAACTATCTGAATATAAAATGAGGCGGAAATTCAATCAGCTGAGTCATATTTTGTTTTTCTTCTTTGATCTTGCATAATAAGACGCAATTAACCTTACCTTATGTCATTGGAATCAATCATATTCAAAAAAATCAAACAGAAATTCAAAAAAAACCTTTTCCATAATTTTCAATGTTTGTTTAATGTGACATTCTGCAAATACAAAACTATTGAGAAATAAACCCATATAAAATTTGCTTTTCTTTTCAAATGAGATAAAAATTAATGACAACATCCCAGGAAGTAATACGGTTTTATTCATTCTGTTAATAGCATCGAAAAATCCTTAAGAGACTTAATAGACATTGTATAAATTCTGAAACTTGAACTAAAATAATCGATCATTTTATTTCTTTACTAAAACAAAAAAATGTTGTCTTATGAAGAGAACCTATTCAAGTCAATATGTTTAACATTTTTCGAATTTCACAAAATTGGTTGGACTTATGAAAAAAAGCTCAGTTATTATTTACAATTGTTAATTGGACATCATCATCTGCTCCTTCGGATCGACAACTCAAATTTCAACATCTTCTTAATATCATCTCAGATGATACAATTGTGCCCCTAGTATCAGCTGATCAACTTCTCAATGTTATCCAAACACAACCATCTACTGATTGGAGTGGTACACTACTCTCTTTAGTAACTTATCAAATTGACAATAATTTTAAATTTACCGATGAATGGTTAAAACCATATATATCGCTAGCGCCAATTAGTCCTATTTCAAGTAATAGTAACCTCAGAAATACCACTACAGAAACTGAACGAACAAGAATACGAACCGATACAGAAACATTCTTACAACAAAAAAAATCAGATCTCCTACGAATTTCATTGCAAACCATAGATTCAATACCGTTTCATAATTTTCATTATTCACCAGAGTCAGAACCATTAGAAGAATATCAATCGATTTTGAATGAGAATTTAAAAGAATTAACATATCTCAAATGGCCCGCAAGTGATATTGCATCAATAAAAAGTGTGATTTTAAATCCTCATAATTTTAACAATCTCGACATTCTCAAAACATCGATTCTTCTGGTTGAAACAATTGTTACCAATCGGTTGTCTGAATCAAATACAGTTAAACGAATTCTTAAATGTTTGCTAGCAAAACCAAATAATAGTCGAATTTGGATGGAAGAATTACAAAAAAATCGTAAAAGAATCAGGTTCAGGTAAAATTCTACAATCTTTACTCGAAGAATTGATCAATCTAAATCCAAATCTAACAAATCCTTCTGATTTAAAACGTATGTTTCAAATAGTTATGAATTATTATACAAACAACGTTTGTCGATGGACAGTTCATGATATCAAAAAATGGTCACGAACATATTCTTCAACAAACAGCCATCCTTTTTCATCCGATGCTGATTTTTATAAAATGGCAATCATCGTACGAGCTGCATGTCTTCATAAACAATATTTACCACGTGATATACAAATCTTATCTGTTATTCTCATGTTAACACATAATACATCAGGTGGGCGAATTGGGCAAATTAAAACTGGGGAAGGTAAATCAATTATTGTTTGTATGTTAGCTGCATATTTAGCTGTTGGTAAACAAGGTAAAAAAGTAGATATAATAACTACATCTGAAGTTTTAGCAATACGTAATACAGAAGAATTTAAAGATTTCTATGATATGTTTAATCTTACATGTACACATAATTGCCGGGATGGTGAAAAAAATGATCAAACAAATTATTCATTAGATATTGTTTATGGTACAGTCAATCATTTTGCTGGTGATCTTTTAAGAACAGAATTTTATTTACAAAATGTACGTCAAAATTGACCATATGATGCAGCTATTGTTGATGAAGTAGACAGTATGTTTATTGATCAATCTAACAGTTATACCCAATTAGCTTCATTAACACCTGGCATGAAAAGTCTTACTGTAATATTTCGTTTAATATGGAATTGTTTTTCTACATATCATATATCAAGTACTGGTCGTGATAATGATGAAGATAATGATTGTTTTGTTATGAAAAATGAACAAAATGAACCTTGTAAAATAAATATACTTACATTTATTGAAAAGAAATTAGAAGATCAAAATCTTTTACGTTATCCAAATTATCGTCAACAATATATACAATCAAAACTACGAGCATGGATCCAAAGTTGTAAACATGCAATGTATTCAATGTATGAAAATATTGATTATGTTATATCTGACGATGGAAAAATTGTTGTTGTTGATTATCAGAATACAGGTGTTTCACGCACTAATATGCATTGGAATAATGGTTTACATCAATTTCTACAATTGAAACATAATTTAAGACTATCACCTGAACGAATGTGTGATTCATTTTTTTCAAATGTAACATATTTTAAGAAATATCAACCGAATTTATATGGAGTAACAGGTACAATTGGAGCCAAAGCGCCACAAGATTTTGTACGTGATGTTTATGGAGTTGATGTTGTGTTTATACCGAAGTATTTAGATAGTGATTTTAGGATTTGTCCAGGTCAGTGAGAAATATTCTAGTAAGAACGGTGTTCCTTTTGCATTCATGTAGCTTTGTTTTTAGGTCAAGTTGCTCGATCTCGTGATCAATGGTTCGGTAAAATTTCTACAGAATGTCGCGAGATAGCAATACAGAAAAAACGTGCTGTTCTCATTATCAGTCAGACGATTGCTGATGCCGAAGATATCGCAAAGAAATTGAAATCTTCACTGCACCGAAATATTAAACTCTACGTACGAAGTGATCTAAAACAACATGTAAAACCTGAAGATGTACATGAAGGTGATATTATTGTTGCAACAAATCTAGCAGGACGTGGTACAGATATGAAACCAGTTACAGCTGTTAATGATCGTGGTGGATTACATGTTATTGTAACATTTCTTTCACGAAATCTTCGTATTGAACAACAAGCATTTGGTCGTGCTGGTAGACAAGGTAAACCTGGTAGTGCATGTTTAATAATCTATCAAGATATGCCACCTGAACTCTATTCATGGATTGATGAAGCTCAATCGATAGAAAGATTTAAAGTTATACGAGATAAAAATGAAGTAAAAATAATTCAACAAGCATTGAATCTTGTACGAAAGATTGAAGCGAAAGATCAACTTTTGAAACAATTTTTAGATCTAGTGCACAGTGAACGAGATTCAATTGATTTTGGTAATAATAAAACTTATCGTCCAGGTTTTGATTCAATGAGAGAAACATGGGCAAATTTTTGTTCGAAAATTGATGATCTACATAATGAAACAGAAGTTCAACGTGAATATCAGACATTTGCTAATTCAATAAGAACACGATTTGATCAATGTCTTACATTAAAACGAAATGTTACACCGCGTTATACTCTTATTCCGTTGAGCCATCAACTTGTTCCAATCGCTGTAACAGATCAAGAATATGAAAAACAAATCGCTGAAAATGATATTGAAATATTAAATGCATTAATTGAATATCCAAAATATCTAATCGATGCTGGTATTAACGAATTATGCGGTAAGAAACCGCCTGGTACTCGATTGCGTAGTCTCAAATTATTACAAGCTGCACAGCAGCTTGATAATACTGATTTCATTACCTATTACAATCAAATTCCGTCTTTGATTGATCAAGAAAAAATCGCGGATGCTACACAAGCTGTGACTAATGCACTTGAACATCTTCAACAAGAAATGCATTATCGTGAAATGTTAGGTATATTCAATGCTATACAGCCATCTGATAAGAATAAGAAAGAACAACAACCACGTTTTGTAGCTGAAATTCTCTTTCTAAATGTTGTCAAAGCATATATTCAAGGTGCAAAAGATCAATTAGAGAAATTTGATTCTGATAAACATGAAGTTGAATGTAAAATTGAATATTGGAAAGAAGTAGTAGAAGAACAATTGAAATCTACTCCATATGCACATCTTATGGCTGAACTTGAAGATGAACGAACGGAATGGGCTTTTGAAGGATTACAATTTCGTTATCAATTTGCAATAACAGCAAAACGTTCTTGGTGGAAAACTATATTTGTCTTTATTATGGGCATTGCGCAAGTCGTTGGAGGTGCTATATTGTGCTTTTATGGATATGTGAAATTTGGCACATCTATGATCGGACAAGGTTTGGTTGATGTTTTTACAGCTGTTGGTAAGTATGAATAAAATCTTATTATGTTCTTACTTCTAATTTCCTTACATCTTTTATATTCTCTTTCTTTCCAGCTACAAAGATTACAGATGATTTTAGTATTTCTGATTATTTCAAGAATAAAATTGTTTCCTATGGTACACAATTGTTTGATCTTGGAATGCTAGATCGGTTTGTTACACCACTTATGTCAACACAAACAATTAATATTATTGGCTTTGGTGCCAAAACTGTCCATGAATTAGCTACAAATGGAATTAATCTTGATTCCTTAAAAAACGCTGCCTTAGGTGCACTACAAGTAGCTGGTGTAAATGGAAATAGTTTGAAATATGCCACAACAATTGTGGAAAATATTGATACGGCTTCAGCTTTAATATCGGGTGATTTCAAACAAATAATGAATGTAAAAACAGTAAATAATTTTTTGCAATTATTTTGGTGGTGAGAATGCATTACTAAAAGGAAAAGAAAAAGAAATTTTAAGTCGAGCACTTAATTTCAGTGTAGATCTTTCGCATTTTGACATAAATAATCCATTATCAAGTGCATTTAAATTAGTTGAAAAACAGATCGGCTCATTACCTGTAACTCAATTAATAGCTAATGCACTTCCACAAGCACTAGAAGAAGAATATGCTAAAAGAAAGAAAGATTTTAATCAACTAATTCGTACAACAATTAGTTTGGTCAAGTCAAGTGAACATTTAACAACAGCTGATGCTGCACAAGCTGTTACAGAAATCTTTCATGCAACAGATCCATCTTCTATCTATGAAGCAAATAAACATAAATTAAATTCAGGTGTTCGTTCTATTGTCGAACCATGTATTCAACAGTGTAAACAATTTCAAGATCAAATCAAATTTCTTGAAAATCAACCTGTGGTCCGAAATTGTTTTGACATGTTACGACAACAAAATATTTCATATGAAACACTTATGAAATCCAATGGTTCGAACTTAATGAAAACTATCATTGGACAGCAATTACAATCAAATAACAAACAAGCAGACATTCTTAAGACTGTTCTTTTCAATTCAGTTGATATATTAGTAAATTCTACAGGTCAAACTAGAGGAATAGATGTGGTAAATAGTGATGTAGGAAAATTATTAAAAAATCATATAGAAATGAACATAATTCGACCATGTTTGGATATTCAACAAGAAAAAGATCTGAATAAGGAAGATCAAAAGCCGATGAATCAATTCTCAACTGCATTCGAATATTTACAAAGACAGGGAGCAAATGGTCATAGACAATAAATTGTATAAAAGTAAAGGCTGTCTTCGTCAACTGTATTTTTTTCTTTCACCGAAAAAAAGTAATCACCCTCAACTTTGTTAAAAATGCTTATAAGAAGACAACTCTTAGAATGAGAATTAAAAGTGACACAAACAAATCACTTTATAAAACTTTTTTGAAAAATTTTAATAAATAAATGTACTTCAAATAAAATAAAAATGCAATATATATACAGAGTTTGACTGGGATCATGTAAACAAAACAATAACCGAACTCATACCAGATTGAATCACGAAAAAAATTCTGGACCTTGATTCAGATCACAGTAAATTGACCGATGTTGAACTTCACATAGGACAAACAAAAGTTTAAATGAGATAACAAGTGCGTTCTTTTCAGTTTTGAGAAATCTCGAATAGATTCACTGAAAAGAATGATTAAGTTTCGAACAAAGTCCACTGTGATTGGCCAAAAAGTATCTTCGACTTTGCGTTGAGTCGGGTCCAGGCATGCTTGGGTCAGGTCGGATCGGATCAGATTATGATCTGATCGGGTTTGCGTAAGTTGAAGAAAAATCTGATCCACGTCGAACTCTGTTATATATATGGTGCGTTCGAAAAGTTTCCGGACTGATTTTATTTAAAAACAATAGAGTGTGGGTTTGGTTGAAGAGAAGCATACACACCACCCCCCACCCCCACCCCCATACCCACCCTTACGCCCCACCCACATCCACACCCACACCCATACACACCCACATCCACCCACACTCACCCTCTTACCCACATTCACGACCCGACCCTTCTTCGTTGTTGTCCAAATTTCGAAATTCTGTTTAGATTGTATAAGAATAAAAATTCGAGATCAGAAAAGGCATCAGTTCTAGAATATTGTTACTTGAAAAAAGTGCTGAGCACACTAAGTTTTGGTATTGACAAAACGGTATGTCTTTTAGAGTAATCATCCCATCACATACGGTAACAAGACTTCTCTATACCAGACAAGTTTTATTGGGTAATTAGCATCTTTTAGCATTGAAGAACCAGCTTGAGTGATTATAATCGATATTCGTCATACTGGCATTAGTAATCATCAGAAAATCACAGGCTTGGGTTAATCCCATAATCAGGAGTGTAGGACATTCAATGGTCTTAATGTCACTGGTGCCAGACATCTACTTCATATCTATGTTTGAATGAAGTGCGCGCTTACGACATACTCCTTAATAGTATTGAGTGTTTCGTATAGTTATTCCAATTATATTTTGTGTAAATCAGGTTTTATCGATGATTCCGGCTCGATTTGCAAGTTTATATATGTAGGGTTGATTGTCTTGCCATATCTCTTTGAGTCTTCCTAGACTACATCGTGAGGTTTATAAATTTTACAACTTTGGTCAGCTGCACTCAATCTCTTTTGAGAAGCAACGGTAATTCAGAATTGATTTAATCGTTCGCGTTTAATCCAAAGTTGTATTGTCACATCTACTTCTTCATCGATAAAGAATGCACCATTTGCTTAACAGGCATATTAAGAGCTGTGTCATTCTAAAATCAATCAATATAATAGACCATATTATTCATAGCCTGCATCTTTCCTTCATGAGTGTACCATAAATTGCTGTGCTTCTAAAATAATTATGATCGTAGGACGCATCCCATCATGGTACAGCAGTTCCAGGACAGGAAGTTTTACCGATTCCTTTAATGATACTGTTCAGATGACTTTTATAGTGAAGTCTTCATGGTACTTTTTAGCCATGTTCATTAAAATAAATTACATAAATAGATTGAAGAAACAACCAACAGCGATCAAGGTTTCGGTAGTAATCTGGACAATTTTATGATAACAGAAGTTCTTTGCATTCAGTATAATCAGCATCAAGATTAAAATCTGTAAAATGCTGGTAATGATGATTAAGCTCATCGAATTTTAATTTCATATCGACGGATGAATCAAAGCATGTTGGTTATCGTTGGATGTATGTTGAGTACAAAATGTGGTCATGAACTGATGATGCTTTTCAGTGTTTCAATCTTCATACTCTAGCCATCACATGGATTTTTCCATGGTCAATACTAATTGTGTGCTACATAGAATTAGTAGTTTTTCAACAAAAAGTGATAGAACTTCTGAGGAAGAAGAAAAAAACAAGAGTTCGAGAAAAATCTACAAGGATAATGTTGAATGGAGAGAAACGTCTCACAGTAAGCGAATAATAGTCCAATTTCAGAAAAAAAGATAAAAATATGATAGCATCACACATCTTCGCCAATAAAATGAAATAATCGGCAAATAGAAGGTGGTTACAAATGATAATGATTTGGATACTCCATCGAAAAACTAAATAAAGATTTTTAATAGCCAGGAAACACTCAAATATACAGAAAAGTGTCTACGATAGGTGATGAAATTAAAAACAGAATATGCAACAGATAACTGTTATCAAAAACATAAGACGTAGTTAAAACGACTTTATCAAGAAGAGAAATAAATAAATATTCATGATCGAAAAAAGAATACAGTATATATAGTTAACATAAAAAAACATATAGACACAAGAGCGACAAAACGCAAATGCTTTGATTGTGGTGAAGAGGATGATAGAATTATAGAAGAGACACATATTGACATGAAACTGGTCAGGATAGTTGACATGATCGGATAGTATGACTAAATAAGAAGTTCGTTTGGTATTCGCAAGATGCAGTTTTTGTTGGCTGCTCTATTTATTATTTTCTAATATATCCCTTGAATATACTAGACTGTGTTGTATGTCCTTTACTGTTGTTCACTATTATAAGTTCAAAACCGAGGATCCTTCTCAATTAAATATTACTATCTAAAGTGTTCATTTAAACGGTTCAACTATTTACAACTTCAATAGTGTTGGAGAATTTATCAGGAAAGCAGTTTGATAATTCAACCGGTATATAGAAATTAACTTTTGTCGTTCTTTGAGGCTCAAGTGATAGTCAAAAACGGATATGAAGCATTTGAAAGAATTTTTTTTCTATGACTAGAAAACTTGCTAACATAATATATTATTAATGACGTCATTACAGAAACAGTTCTCTTCGCAAGCGAGTTGCTTCATCCTGTGTTATCAGAGTTCTTGTACCTTCTCTATTGAGTGGTGCATTCTTCAAAGGTGTGGATGATACATAGTCAATGTATTCGGAAATATTGTTTTTATAATACTCTCTTCTCGCACCACTAACTTCCAACATATTGCTTAGTTCCAACTGTAATGCACTATACATATCTCCGTTTTGAAGATGTTGATGAATAGTTTCATGATAATCAGATGCCTCTCGACTTCTTCCTGTTGAAGCAGCTTTTACATGATCTTCCACAAACATGACCATAGCTGGCATACTATATTCGCTTATATTTTCGTAGGGTGTACCTTTACGTGAAGCTTTTGGAGGGATGTGATTTAGTTCAAAAATTCTCTTTCGTCCTCTGAGTATTCTATTTAAACGACCGTACTTACCTGCACGTGGATATGTATCAGACGTGTACATCTCCTGGAAAGAAGGCTGTAGCTGAGCTCCTCCTGTGATTAATAAAGCATTTGCTTCTCGTGGATGATGATATTGGATCCATTGTTGTACTTTCTCTATTTTCGAAAACTGACTAGGATTCGTTTCTATGCTTTGGGCTCGAGCATTACGAAGATCGTCGATAGATTTATCGACATTTTTATCATTTAATATTTTCTGAATAACAGTATAACCACAATTATTTTTCTCGCTTGGAATATCAATAAGAGTACCATCTCCTGACATAAGTTGAAAATGTCCTATACCAACATTTCCATTTGCATCTGCTGTTCCTTGCGTGTATACTATAATGTTTGTACCATGTGCCTTATCCTCTTCCGTAGGCTGGTAATTCTCATCATCTACTATTTTTATATCTAAGTTATTTTCCGCAGCAAGTGCCATCATATCAGAAAGATTTGCTGGTTTATCGCTTCTTACTTCTTCAATATATTCTTTTGTGTTTTTATCGACTGTTCCAGTGTTATGTACATCTCGCTGTTGTGGGTGTTGAGACTGATAAATAATATCACATTGACTATATGCAATCGTATAATCCTTAGCATTATATCTAATTTGCTTTGCAATAGTGTTATATTTACTTCCACCTTTTTCTGCTTCAAGTTGTTGATTTTCTCGATTTTGACTATCGGAATTTTGATTCGTATCAACAATAAAATGATGCTGTACTCTTTCTGAAATAGCCTTTGTCAATTCACCCATACCATAAGTACTCCACGGAGAAATAAGTTGTGATTGTGTTATTCGAAATACTTGTTCTGTTATCGTATCGGATACTAATTTCATGATTTCATTGAAATCATCGATTACTACGTTCGATATATTTTCATGTAATGAAGTGAAAAATTTTATGATCGTTTCTTTATGCCTATTAAATTGTTTGAAGTCAACTTTATTTAATCTATTCGGAAAATTCTTATTTTCTAATTCGTCATTGAATTCTACGATGCCTTGGTCGTCAAGAAGACTTAGAATTTCTTTTGTATCTTCTTTGCTGATCATACAATAGTGATTTAGAACCTGATACATGGACAAAGTATCTCGATCTATGTCTGTAAGCTTCTTTAAGAGTTTATCATGAACATTTTGAATAATAAACGTAATTTCATACATTCCATTCAGGGTGCCAAGTATTCTAATACTCATACTTGCTGGACTGCGTATTTTCTCGACACTTGAAAGCATACCTTTACATAAAGGACCGCCAATGGAGTTCCACTGTTTACGCCAGAAACTATGTTCAGGATTAATTATTTCGATGACTATTCTGTGAATTTTTCCTTTCATTTGTTGTTTTCGACTCATTAGGTCGATTGCATACATTTTACGAACTATTTTGAATAGATCAGATTCAGTAAATTTGCTATTTACTCGATTTTGTATGGACGCCGAAATCTGTGGTTTCATTTGTTCTAATACGAAATTCGATCCAATATCTACAATCTTATTCAAACCTTCTCTTAGTGCAGCTTCGCCAATAGTTACACCAGTGAACTTGACCGCTAGACTTTTCAAGTTTTTTCCTGTCTGAATTAATGTTGTACCTGCTGATTTTCCACTAGTTATTAACTTTGTACCAGCTTGCTCAAGTAGTTCTTGTCCTGCTCCTGTCACAACCGTCTGAGCTCCTTTAGCTGCATCTTTAATCGATGAGAATCCCATTGAAACAGCTGAAATAACTAGACTTACTGCTTTTTGTTTACCATAATCAGACCAACTAAATTGTCTCGTACTATAAGCTCGATAGGCAGTAAACAAATCTGCAGCTCCTTCAGTAACCAGACCCATTCCTACAGTAGCTCCGAATCCCGTACAAATAAGAGCAGCACCTACTGCTATTTGAACAACGCCTAGGATAGCTACGCTAGCAACACTTAGCCATGGAATAAATCTCTTCTCGCTAATTTCAAGTAGATATTCGATTCCTCGTCCTGAAAATTCTGAAAGTTCTAAGTCTGGCTTTGAATCGCTCATAAATAATTCACTTAAAGATTTGACTTTATTTATTTCTATATTTTCTTGATCGATGGGAGCTATTTCTATTAGTCTTTGTGCTTGAACATTTGACAAATGCTTAAAGACTAAACTAAAATCTAGATTTTTTTTTCTTATTTGTTTTATTAAAGTTTGAGCCATTTCCTTTCCTAATTGATCAAAATGAACATTGATAGATTCATCGTTTAGTCCATTCAACAGATTGTCGAAATCTATATTAATGAAATGAATATTAAAATTTGCATTCGGACAAATTGAAACAATATTTTCAATTGTTTGTGTATTTAAATCAATTAATTTTATCCACATATGATCCTCTTTATTTTCTTCGATTTTTTTCTCTGCTGTTGTCTTATCGACTAATTCTTTGATATTGTCAGCATTCTTTTCTTCGTTTTGAAACGTGCATAATTCAATGCCTTGTATGTGGACAGAACGAAGAACTTCTAATAATTGTTCTTTTCTATCGAATATTTCAAGATTAATGTTTTCGGATTTTATTTTCCTACATTTCTCTTGAATGTTTTCTCTATGCAAATGAAGAAATTCGACAGTGAGTTTCGAATCATTTATTACTTCGGTTTTTAAAACTTTGGATACTTCATTTGCAGATACAAAAGTTAAATTAAAGCGCACATTCTCTTCTGTTTGCTTTTCAATTATTTTTATTGCATCTTTTACTTGTAAACGAGATTCTTCTTGTATTTTATTGTTGTTAAGAATAATATCTATATCAACTGCACACGAATCCGGAGATAAAGAATCCGGCAGTAAATGACGATGAAAAAATGAACTTTTATCTTTTAATTCTACTAGAGCCACCTCTTTTGTAACTTCCTGAACTTCGATATTAGGATTGATAAGCTCTTTCAATGTTTCTGAATTAATCTGAGATATACTGATCCTAATATCTTTATAATCACTATTCAGAATACGTCGTTTTGTATTGCTCAAGCGATCAAGTAAGTTAGGTTTTGACATTGCCCGATCTATAGTCTGAATAGCTTGATCAATGGTACCCATATCTTCTCTCACAGTAAGATCATTGAATGTTACTTCATGTTCTCGATCTTTTGATAAAATTTGAAGAGGAGCTAAAAAGTCTGCTCGAACGTAGCCGTTTTCAGAAACGATTTTTTGATAAATTCTATTGTAAATTTTAGAATTTGTATTTCTATCAAGAATCCTCTCATCAAATGTTACGGTTAAAAGCCAATTATTCAATTGGATATCATCTATAGTCCATTTAGCTATTTTATTTTCTATTCTATTTTTGTAAATAACTATGAATTTATCTTCATCTTCTTTTGTGATCCCAACTTCGTCACAATTTTCTATCGAAGCTTTGTATCGATCACTCTGATCAGAGGAAATTAAACGAATATTACACCATTTCCCAATACCTTTCTCAATTTCATCATGCGTAATGACTTTTTTAAATACGCCACTATTATCTGCATCGGTTTTCATGTTTTTACAGTCCATGATATCCGTGATTTGTATTAATCTGCGAGATTTTCTAATTACATTCACGACATTTTCTAAACTATTGCAATAGCTACCTAAAATATTAATTTTTTGTATTAATTGTTTCGATAGAGGACTATTCATATTGAACGATCTCTTTTGTAAAAGTGTTTGGATTGATGTTAGTAAAGCCATTTCTTCAGCTAAGATTTCAAGTGCTCTACGGAATGCTCTCATAGCTGCTTCCTTATAGCCGAACTCTTGTTCATTCGAGCCAATAAGTTGTTCTTTACCTTTTATTAATAACCAGCCTTTACCAACGAAAGCTGCCGCACAATGATTTGCATCAAGCTCTATAGCATTATTGAAATGCTTCATCGCTTCATCATACTTATTTTTCAGCGATGAATCGTTTATGATTAAATCATTGCCTATGTTGATACAATGATAGGGGTTCTTAATCACACAATCATTGGCGTAGTTACTCAGTATATTTTCACTAAATTTTTCGTAGTCAGCATGAATTTTCTCTATATTGATAGGAAATTTTTCATCATCAATTTTACGTAAAAACATAGCCCATTGTTCTTCAATACTGAGTAAAGTATTCATCTCAACAACAGACGGACCCACATGTACAAATGTACTTTTTACATTATTCTTTACGTTTGTCCACCAGTTAATTTTCTTCCTAATTTTTGAGCGTATCACTTTTAGTAACGAACAAAATTTAATAAAAAGCTCATCTTTCAATGTAATGACTTTCAATTCACAACTTTCAAAATCACATAACATTTTCGTTTCAATTCTATCTCGGATTTGTGTAATTTTTTGTATATCAAAATCTTCATATTCTATTAAATTAATTACATTTAAGATTCTTTGACTTGTACCTCGTTTACCTTGGCGTGATGTTCTGCCAACTGCTTGTTCTTCGACACGTTTATTAGGCGGCATAAATGTTACAATAACATGAAGACCGCCATGTTTTTCTATTTCCTCCGTTTTTATATCTGTACCTCGTCCTGCCAAGTTCGTAGCTATAATTATTTCTCCGGGATTTATATTTGCGACATTCTTCTCCTGATTCATATCATTCATCGTATAGAGTTTAATCGCACTAGAACGATATTTTTGCTGCAATTTTTCTGCTATGCTTTTGGTATGTTCGATAGTTTCACAAATAACTAGAGTTCCGCGTTCTTTACTCGATTCATTTATTGCTGAATGACAAATTTCTTCTAACCAATCTTTTTCGTTCATGACTACAATGTCAGGTAATGAAAGATGTTGTTTTTGACGTAGACTAGGAATACTAACAAAATCTACATGATAAACGTCGCCTAGCACTTGTTTCGCTTTATCCGAACCGAGTGTGCCGGTAAGGCCAAATAATTTCGAACCATACCGTGTAAAATATCCTCGATTCGAAAGAAAATTTGTCGTAAACGTTTCCGATGTCATTTTGAGTTCATGTTTTATTTGCAAAAATTGATGTAATCCATCGCTCCAATTCGACGAACTCTGTACAATACCTGTACTATAATAATCGACTGGTTTTATCAAACCGTCATGTACAATGTAATGTACATTTTCTTGATAGGTCAATGCTGTAATGGCATTATCTATCCATTTCGGTATTTGTGAATGAACAAAATCAGAGAAATTTTTCGGTACTTTGATATTTTCCTTGATGAAAGTTCGAATATAATTGTCTAAGTTCTCCTTAATAAATTCATCTTCATTATCATTTTCTGGTAAACATTTTCCTATATTACTTATATCAGATGTAGAGGCTAGATGATTTTTTAAATCTGGAATAGTAACAATGTTCCCTTGTTCATTTGCATATTCGAGTGTGATTAGTTTTTCTTCGAACTTAATTTTTCCATAAAATAAATACATTTTATTATCTAAACGAATTATTTTCTCTTGCAAAGAAACAAGTTGATGCCATAATAGATAATAGATTATCTGTAATTGATCCATACCTGACATAGACGATGCTAATCGTGCTATTTTCGAACTATCATCAATAAGCATACTATCGACTTCATCGACGATGGCAACATCACATTTCCTATCGGCTAATGTATTCAATTCAGCATATTCTGTTCTCAGTGTATCGAATTGAAATTGTGCTGCTTCACCATAAACAATCTGTTTTCTGTAACACACCTTAGGACCTGATAGATACACTGCTTTATCATTATTATGACTACATTGAAGACCAAACATACTGTAGAAATTTTCTTTTTCTTTTGCATCTCTTTCTGCTAGTACAGGTGAACTCGTTATGATATCCACGGTGCTTCCTAGTAAGGCGTAAACTACTGCTAAAACACTGATAATAGTTGATTTACCTTCGCCAGTTCCTACTTGTAGTAATCTACCTTGGTTCTTGTTAGCATTCAAAACAATCAAACAGCTTAGAATTTGTGCATCCGTAAGATGAAATCCAGTATCTATGAAGTTTGCTTGTTTGATTACTGCTAGAGCTTCTATAATGAAATCTTCGGAATCGATACAAAGTGTAGCATAAGCTTTGACTATATTTGCCCATAGATGAATATGATCTTTTGTCCATTGTGAGATAGAAATAGAAGGAATTCGATGCTTCGGATTTGAGTCTTTTTCTATAATATTCTTGAACAATAACGATAATAAGTTTGAACTTTTGATTTTTTCTATTAAATCTAATAGTTTTTCTTCATCGAAAGTTTTCAAATTTTCATTTTGTGAATTTTTACTTTGCAACTCTTGTACTAACTCTCTTGACATTTTAACTTGACCTTTATCAGAGAAGTTTGTTTCAATTGCAATTTTATTGATCTCTTTTTGCCAATCTTCAGATGAATTCTTTAGAATTATTGATATTTTTTCATAGTTTTCTTCTTTCGGAGGAATTTTATAATGTGAAATAATCTCGAGAACAGATAAAAAATATTGTGCTTTTTCTCGACTATTTGATTCTTTCACAATACTGAAAAAATGATTTAATTGCTCGAAAGCCCAATTCTTATCTAACAAATCATCCAGACAAACACCTAATTTCAGTCGATCAGCTTTTTCTATTTGATTACCCAACAATTTGATTTCTAATGATCGTTTTAGTATAGGAACAGTCGCATTCTTCACATAAATATCCGATGATTTTATATGATATGTTTTAGAAAAATTCAAAATATTTTCGAATTCTGATAAATTACTGATACTTTGTAAACTACTCAGAAATTTTTGACTTAGATGAAAGCCAAAGTTTGACATCATATTCGATGCTAGAGCTTCAGTATACTCATCACTGACTCCAGCTCTATTTAATAAACATTGATGAATAATAACTGTCAGGTATGCCTGTCTCAAATCGACAATTGCTTGGCTACTATGCAACAAAATGTCATGAGCAGTGTCGAAATCAATTTGATCTAAAATCTTTACTGTTTCATAACATTCCGTAAAGAGCACATTATTATTATTTACTAGAAAACGATGTAAAAGTTTTAATAATATATCACTTTGACCTTTTCTATGTTCTTCGATATCAAGCCAAACTTCATAGAATTGAAAACGTTCTGCTTCAGTTATGTGAAATCGTTCAATTAAATCACAGATTAAAAGCTCTCTATTCCATAGATTTTGTGGTTTACCATAAATTTTATCAAAATCAGTGTATTTTAACACCGCAACGGTCTCGAATAAATCTAAATCAAAGTCAACTTCAACATCCGTATTGTCTTCAAGTTTATCAATAATATGATCGCACCACTGTAGAAATGCTGAAGATCTACAACCTCTATCATAAGCTGCTCTTAAACCTCGAAATGACCAATAACGAATGATTTCATCATCATTGAAAATATTGATTTCCAATGATTTCAATTCAGAAATTTTCTTAGCTTCTAATGTTAGTGCAATGCATACAAGTATATCGCAATGAAATATACGGAACTTATCATTTTGATCTAAAATATCTACGAAAATCCTGAATACATCATCGAAATGATTAGTTTGACACTTCGTTCTTTGAATTACTACTTTATATGCATCTAGAATGTTTTTATTCAGTAGCTGGGATAAGATTGCTCTCTCTACACTGTCAATAATGGTTCGATTGAAAGAATATTGAGGATTTTGTATTAAAATCAATGCATAAATATCAATTAATTTTTGCTCTAAACTGTTTTTAAGTTCGTTTTTTTCAATTTTCAATGAAAGTAGCTTTTGAATCGATAAATGAGAAAGTATTCGACTTCTTTGATATTCTTGCCGCATAGTTTCTAAAAATTCTTCAACCCTCGTTAAATCAATACTTGTCAAAGAATCCATATCAGAGAATAGTTTTATCTTATTTTTCAATTCTTCTGATATTGTTTGATTGTTTGAGATTACCTTAAGAACTTCTATTGGTTTGTCATTTTCATCTTGAGAAAAAATGAGCGATATAATTTCATCATTTATCTTTCTTCCGGCTTCGGCCATCTCAGCAATGATCTGACAACATAATGATTTGATGTGTTTTGAATTAGTACTAGCTAATAAAACAGCAATACTGTTCAATAATTTGTCTGTAATTTTGTCCTTATTTGAACACTTCCGTAAAATTTCTAAAGCTTTGAGACTCAACGCTGTATCATCGTCAATAATACGACTAATTTGATTGAAATTTTGTGCTAATAGTTTAGGTTTATCAAACTGATCTAATCTGTCGAGTAATTGATCGCAATTATCAAAATTCAGATAGGCAAGCTCATACACACATTTCTGATTGTTTTCTAATGTGGAAGCATTCAATAATATACGGATGTCTTGTCTGATAGTTTCATTGCAAATGTCGCTCGTAGTCAAACTTAGAAGAATATCTATGGCTTCTTTTTCTGGTACAACTTTGTGACGAGATATAAGTATTTTTAATCCATCGATAGCTTTACGAATAACATCTTGATTGTCAATTTTAAGAGCATGAACTAATGCTGTTTGAATACGAGCAATTATGTTTTTATCAGATTTTCGACGCAGGATTCGATCAAAAAGACTTCTCGTATCAGCTGAAAAATAATCTTTCTTCTCTATAACTGAACAGATAAGAGACAGATATTGTTTCACGATAAATGAATTTTTTATGCTGAAAAACTTATCGAGCATTTTGCCAATAATCTTCACAGATAGCTTTTTACCTTTTTGTCCTTGAAGCAGAAAAATAATTAATACTTGATCAAGAATACATGGATTATCCAAGGCTTTAGTCAATTTGGATGAAAGTTGACTCGGTATGTCTTGATTATTTTTCACTAAATTTTCAAATATTCGAACGAAATCATGCTGCTCGTTGTAAGGATTAAATCTTCTCGTTAGTTTTCCGACTAAATCAATAGGTATTATTTGTCCATTATTCGAAACATTCAACAAAATTTTCAAAACATCATTATCGATTATCCATGGAATGTTGATGACTTGTGCTAATGCTCGAAAACCATTAATTGTTAATCGATGTCCATTCTTTGTTTTCTCAAGTAAATAAGCAATAGCACACTTAGCTTCCAAGTAATATGAACTGATAGCGCGACTAGCCTTTTCTAATTCGAATATATTGAAAATTCTTTCAGATATATCCTGATTATCATTAGCCATATCTAGGAGATAATAGGAACTCTCTCTTAGTTTATTATCGTGTGATAAATAAAAATTATCGGCAATGATGCGGAGAATTTTTTCACTGACGATTTGTTTATTATGAATTATATTTTCAATCACTTGAAAAGCTTGATTAAATAGTTCAGGTGTCGTAACGACATTTTCTAGCGCAGATACAGTATCATCTGGAATGAGAAATTTATTTGCTGAGTATTTACGTAGTATTTCAATGGCTTCAACTTGATACTCATTTTCGAGCAATAGAATATGATCGAAAATTCGGAAAACATCATCTTCAAATGGATTATTTGCAGCTTCGTTATATAGTAAAAATAGAATTTTTTTATTGACTTTATCAGCAAAATTTTCTTCGCCTAATTGTAAATCTTCAAATACATAGATTCTCGGTAAATAACTAACATGGCTTGCTGCGATAAAGCCGTACGATGATGATAATGTCGCTAAACCTCGAACATAAGCTAAGGTCAAATAAACAGAAACATCGTGTATACGACTTTCTATATCTTCTTTTAGTTCAAATAGAATTGGATCCTTTATTTCATGAGTTTCTGCAGCTAAATATAATGATTTCGCTGATAGAATACAAGTTTGTTTATCTTTACTATTGAGTGATTTAACAAGATAGTCAATACTTTGATCATTTATTCTAGTCTTTTTCTGCAGAGATGTAACAAACATTTGAGCTACTATGGACGAAATCCATTGACAATCAAGATTATATTCAGAAGCCTTTTCAAAACTAATATCAACTTCGTCTCTAATTATAATACTGTCTTCTAACAATTTACTTGCTAGGCAATCTACCTTGAAGATTGCTTGTTGTTCGGCAACAATTCCCAGAACTAGGATAACGAAATTATCAAATTTATCATCACCTTGATTCATATTTTCAATGAGAATTTCCATCATAAATTCTGGTAACATTTTCTCCTTCTCGACAGTTAAGACAATGGATTTTAATGCTTCAAGTTTTAAATCTTCGCTATCTTGCGAACGATGCAATAGACAAACATAATTTCTAAGTTGAATTTCGTTCAAACCTTTACTGTAACTAGATTGAAGATAATTGTTTATTATCGAACAGACAAGTAATTTCTCATGTTGACTTAAATCCTGTTTGGCAAATACACTACTAATTATCGTTATTGAGTTTTCATCAAATAATTCTTTACATCTATTCATATCTTTACTCTGTTCGTAAATATAACTAATAGCATGAATTAAATTCTCACCTTGTTCTTCTAATTGTTTCAAACATTCACTGAATACTTTCGCATAATCAACATTCTTAGTATCTTCAATCAACACTAATATTTGAATGATCCAATTTGTAAATTCCTTATCATCGTCGTCTATATATTTTTGAATATGATTCAATCGTTCGTCTGTTAAAATCCCTTTATTTCGTGTCGTACAATTATAAATGGCTGATATGGCATTAATTCTTATAGCTTTTAATTTAGATATTAATCTTTCGGATATATCGCCTTCATTTACAGCAAAACCACCTTTAAATAATTGTAGAATATGTAAAGGAAAAAGAGCAGCTTTAAGGAAAAGTGTATAATTTCTTATAGCACTTGCTCTTCCAGCGGGTCCATCGAGAATTTTCCATTCAAGTCCATCGAGACTATCTATACATTGAATAAGTAAATGTATCGTTTTTTCGTTTAAGACCTGCTTTTTAGATATTTCAAGAAACATCTCAGAAATCATTAGATCCAAATGTAACCCTTCTATGTGCTCCATTCCAGGCGCTAAAAACCATTTTTTGCCAGCTCCTAGAAATCTTGACGGCAAATATTCATCTTTATCTGTCTTTTTAAGTATTTGTCCACTTTTTACTCTCTGATAAAGATTCGAGATTTCTGCACTCGTAGTTCTCCATATAGATTGATCGCTTCCACCTTTATCTTGTACAATGGGAAGAACTTCTATATTCGTACTCGTTTTAACATCAACTTTTCTATTCTTAAAAAAATTAACAGAACTTAGCGCATCCGTGGATTCTTCAGATTGCTTATTATTTGATTTTATTTTCATTGTTTGCTGGTTTTTTGTAACAGCCGCTTGCTTTAATTTGCGCGAGTAATTCTTAGGCATTTTTATTTGTCTTTGTGTACTGTGTTGGTCTTTGTTATCGGCAAGAAAATACTGATTTTGAACTTGTTCATTAACGAAACTAATTGATTCGGTGCTAACTTTGTCCTCGACATTTTCTATCGCACTGTTGATTCGGTTTACTAAATTTTCGTCTAGTGTTTTCTCAGAATTTTTACTCCATGAATTTTTAATTTGGTAGCCTAACGTCCATAAGATGTCAGATCTTATCTTTGGTCCTTGATTCTCTTCTAAGATTTCTAACAGTTTCTCGATTTCAAACTTAACATCGTCTTTCTTCACAGCATATTTCACTGCCTGTGCTAATATCAATTTAATGCCATCATCAACATTCTTATCTAGTAAATCCTGATAAATTTGATCCCAAATGTATTTGGGTAGATGAAACTGCCGAGCTATATATCTCAACTTGCTCGAGACACGTAAATGAAATCGTTTATCTAATCGATAACCTTCGTTGAGTTTATCTATGATTTGTTGCTCATCCAATTTTTTACATTGTTTACACAAGCTTTCTTCGATTTCGTCTTTTCGATCAGATCTTTTCAAACAAATCCATATAACAAAAGAAATTCCCCAAAATAACAAATAAGCGCACCAATCAAACATATTACTTATCTTATTATTGTTATATAATTTTGGTTGGTTTTTACAATAATCAAAAAAGATCTACTTGAAAATATTGCTTGATTTGTGTAAGATGATGTCGTATTGATCTGTGTTTGTAATCATATCTATGAAATATATTAATTTTCCATTTTATTTAAATATAAGAAATGATAGGAAGTGTAAATACGAAAGGTGAATGTTCGATATTATGAGAACAAAGAATCCGCATCATGCGTCTTCAGATATATGTTTGTGAGCGATTTCTATGGTAAAAGATTTGAGTTGGTTGCGGAATATGAGGTAGGCAAATGTAGTCGAGTCTTCTATTTAACCAATTATAGCTTGAAGCTCTTGAAAACTCTGAACTTTATCGCTCTTATCATTCAAAGCATACTAGTAGTCCGGAAAAATATTTGCAAATCACATTACTTGGACATTCCGAGCATCGTCGCCGTAAAGCCATCAACACAAGAAAAAAAACATCAAACTAAGTCCATAACAATCCATTAGAATAAAGGGTATCCAGTAAGTAAGCTTTGATCTCCTCATGCAACATTTTTGTCATATGTGTTCCTTAAATGGAAGAGACTGATATTTACATCGTATGTACTATACGTCTAGATCTACTCCGTCCGCGAACGGCAGCTTTCTATTTAATTTTATTGCGCACATATAAATTTTATCTAAATAATAAGAATTTTCGAGTTACTATTGGAACAATTACGGACGACAAAAAATTGTACCGATTTTATCACGCGTTCATTACGAGTAGCTTTTGCTTTACTACATATAGCTCTTGCACTCTGTTCTTGATCAACATCTTTATGCATAGAATAAGTATGTAATTTATGTAGTGAAGCGAAAGCTACTCGTAATGAACGCATGATAAAATCGATACAATTTTTCTCATCTATAATTGTTCCAATAGTAATTCGAAAATTCTTATTATTTAGATAAAACTTATATATACGTAATGAAATTAAATAGAAAGCTGAAATTCGAGGATGGAATAGATCTAGACATATAGTATATATGATGTAAACATCAGTCTCTTCCACTTTAGGAACATATACGACAAAAATGTTGCATGAGGAATCAGAACTTACTGGGCACCGTTTATTGTAGTCAATGGCCACTGCACAAAAATAATCGGAAATTTAGAAAAGGATAGAAAATGCATGATCTGACTATGATATTACAAGAGTAGCGTCTCTGGAGAGAGAAACCATCCCGCAATCTATAAAAGGATATTCAATGATGTGTGTTAAGTTGCTGAAAATCAGTCTACGTAATACTCAACTGACATGTAGTCTAATGAAAGATTATTGATTCTACATTTCGTTATAAACAAGAGTGAAAGTCAATGTTATGCTCATGATGTGTTGAAAGAGCAGTGCATCGAAGAGTTTCACGACGAAAACATGTTTACTTCAAGCGTCCATGTTATTGTTCTTCATCGCCGGCGAGACTATATCTGAATCAAATAATGAAAGGATGATGATGAACTAACGAATCTTTCATTTATCATCTTGTATTACAAATCGAAGCATTCTTCGCCATTAAAAACGAAGACTAAAAATCATAATAATTTTCGATCCAAGAAAAGGAATTCATTATTGCCAGCAATAATATTTCACATCCTCAGTATCAGTCTTTTTTTACTGGTGACTGATTTCTTTCTATATGGCTTTGATATCGAACACGGAAAGGAATCTATCTTCTCCAAGACAGGATAGAGTAAAAGGAAATAGAAATTATTGTTAATATCGTTGACTTTTTAATAATTCTAATAAAATAGATTTACCATTCTTTAAGAGATTGCCAATACATTTAAAGGAATACTTACACAGTAGATGTCCAGAAATGTTTTTTCAAGCTTTCAATGTCGTTAGAGTTTACTTCAACTTCCACAATTTAAAATCTACAATAAAATATCATTTTTATTTCGTAAATTTCATTGTGAATCAAAACAAACAAGTTCTAACGAGGCTGATTAGAAATTTTATCTGAATATTGTTGGTTTTGAACCGAATAATGATTATATGCAAATAGTGATCATGTATTCTTTGCGTGTTGATCGAGTTTTATCAAACTATGCAATGTATGCGGAAGAAAAAAAACTGCCACGAACTTTTTTATTAGAACTATCACCATCCAAGCAATATTGACAGTAAAAGCAGCCGAGTTACATTCTATCTCACTTTCATATTTTTTATTCTATGATTCTATTTCTACTCAAAGAGTATATTGAAATCTGGTCAAAATACTGCTAAGAAATTTGGAATTCAAAAACAAGATGGATTGAAAAGTTTGTGTGATTGCATTTGGTATTATTTCAATCAAAAAAATTCATATTTGTTCAAGACTCTACTATTCTAATCCAAGTGTACTAGAAGCATCTACTGAACATCATTTATTTTCAATAGATATTTACTTACAGAAAAACACAAGAAATAAAAGGGCGACAAAACAGATGTTAATTTTCCAAGGATTAAGGGTGTGGGTGTGAGTAATAAATGGATTGAATACCCACATCCTCAGTTTCAAAAATGATTTGTCAAACAGCTTCAGCTTCATTGAACTGAAGCTGTTCGAACATTTTCCAATTCTTGTGCTGAAATAGAGCTGGCATATACGTCGTAGCAGGATTGCTTCTCATTAGACTAGAACTATTTTTCAAAGTAGAAAGAAAAAGTTTGAAATCGAACTATATTATGCTAAAACATTAAACAGATCAGAAAATGGTGCCCAAATCTAGAATCCTAAAAGGTTGTGTATGGACTTTTTTTATTTATAGAGCATTAGCTGGTGAATGTCTTCTCTTCTCAACATCTCATGCCATTTGGATAGAAAACTAAAAAAATCATTGGCTTCATTCGTATTCCCTTTGCTAACGACATTTGCTCTATTTCTCCATGTAATTATATATGTGAGGGGACAATTGTTGTTACCTGTATTCTAGAAGAATTCGAAAGAAAATTTTTTCTCTGACTACCTCCTTCCTTTTATATTTTGCTCCATATATTTTATTAAAGAACATGAGTGTGCGACGAACAACAATTACGGTGACATTATCAGCAAAAACAGAATATACCGTAAATATTTGGTTTCAAATATGTCATTTTCTATTGATCCACTCTTTTTTTTTTGCATTTTTTTTTCTTTCTGTTGATCTTCTCTCTATCATTTTGTTGTAATCATAGAATAAAAAAAATGAAATAATTTGTTTTTCTCCGCTTTCAGCAAAACTATGGAGATAAAAAAAGGTGACGAGGGTAAAAAAACGAAAGAATAATAAATAACACTTATATGTCGACACTGTTGTTCTGTCGTCAATACTTCTCTATTATAATCACCATAATTTCGGATCTAGCTCATAAGAATTAATGTCGCACAATTGTATGCGCACTGTTTTCTTTTATTCATTTAATTTGGTCTCATGGTATTATTCTTTTCTCTTGAAAACTTCCCTTTCCTTTTTCGTTTTCGTTAGATACATATAGTGTTTGATGGGCTTTTCTTAAGAAAGAAAGAGCAAAAATTTTCTACTTCATCCATACTTCAACATGCTGCAAGGATATGTTAAAGCTATCCTATCTGAAATCTTTTAGCTATTTCAAGTCTACTTTAAACGTGTATTACAAGAATAATATTGGTTTAAGTTCATTTAACATAAGTCTGGTTGATAATAAAGCCTAAATATTTTCTTGTACTTCACTAGTACAAATCTTTTAGTACAATAAAGTATTTGAGCTTTATTATCAACCAGACTTATTTAAAATGAACTCAAACTAGTAATATGTTTTTGACACATGTTTAAAGTCGACTTGAAATAGCTAAAAACTTTCGAAAAGAATAGCTATAACATACTCATGAAGTACGGTGAAGTATAGAATTTTCACTTTTTCCTTGTTGAATCTGTCCCAGAAAATAAGTCGCAAATGAATCTCAGGGTGTGGGTGTGGAGTATGGGTCTGGGTCTGGGTCTGGATGTAGGTCTGTGCATGGGTGAGAGTGTGAGTATGGATGAAGAGAATACACATACCAAGGCACTCACATCCACACCCTCTGAATCGAGCTGAGCTGTCCGAATAGTTCAGTTCAGCTCAGAAGAACTGTTCAAACAGTTCATCAATTCGGAGATTTTTTTCGAACTCTCCAATCCTTACCAATTAGTTTAGGACATCTGCCCGGACAACAGAAGACATGCGATTGAAATTATCAAGCAGAACCTATCTTTCTTCGTTCTGTCCATTTTTATATTTCCTTATGTTGGAACTCGTTATGACTTACATTTGGTACCTAGATACATTTCTGTCAGTTTTTACTGCACTGGAACGAATTTATTTCTAAAACATTCAACATTGGATTCTCTGCAAAGCCCTTCAAAAGAGATCAAAACAGATATAAAAGGAAAAACTTATCATAATAATACTACGAGAATCTATCAATAATAACTTTCAAAGTGTTCTCGTTGATACTGATTCGCGTTTCTTCGTAGTACTGAAGCATCATGGCAAAGATTTTACGTAGAGCGTTTAATTTTCCAAGAACTAATCCTTGTCTTTCATGCTCTATTTTACTATTCCCCACAGAAGCTATTCGAAGTAGCACTGTTTCAGAATGCGTCTAGCCTTGTATAGTATCATTTAGTGGTATTCACACAAACCAAAACATTGTTCCAGGAATAATACTAGAATAAGTTGCCTGTATTTTTTCAAAAACTGCAAAAATACGGCGAAAAACAGAAATATTTTCGAAAATTCATAAAAAATAACATTTATTCTAGTTTATAGGCTTGTAATCGAAGAATCTTGATGCACATTAACAGAGTACAGCTTTCAAAGCTCAACAAAAATGTTTATTTAGTTAGCTCCTATGGACTGATATAATGAAAACTCGAAGGGATACCCAGCAAAAAGCTAGAGGATCATTTATGCTGGACCACCATTTTTTTCTAGTGCTCTGACTATGTTATAGAACCTCAGGAAAATTAAACTGCTTTACACTTATGATCTTTCGGTGTGATCGAGGTATGCACAACAAAATTTTAGAGCTAGAGGTATCTCAACGAAATCATCCTTTTTCGAGATCTGTGTACTCATATTCTTTTCTGAAGAATCGCTTGTGATTTTTATTTGCATCATGGGCTTTTGGATAACAAAAGCACCAAATGACTAAATTATTCCACTTCGTCCTTATTACTTGAAAATTTTCTGGATAATCCTAACTACAGAAGCATTTTAGGGAGAATATGGTTTTTTCAAAACCTTTCGAGTTGCGTTTTGTCGACATCAGGAAAACAGTCATCATGCAATTAAAATTGTTCTCTCTGAGGTCACTATTCTAAGCATATCCATCACTTAAAATCCAGTTGAAAAGAATCCTTTTCACGAACATTTTCTGAAACACCTGCTTTCTATACAGCATCATATCGAATTTTCAGCGAGGTCAAAGATGTTGGAATGGTAGAACAATACAAGGTTTTATTATAACTAATATCTTCTATTGATTTCGCATAGAATCTTGAAACATTTTCACCACGAAAATAATCACTATGATCGAAAAATAATATTGTACAGAGATGGTAGTGCTAGTTAATAGTAGAAAAATCTTCTGGCTACTGATGCTTAAAAGGGTCTTATACAGAGACTTTCATTTCAAAAGACTCACGTTTGCTCCTTGTATTGATGCGGTATCTTATTGTAATGATGAGTAGAACACATTGGTAATGTATCGACGTTGTTTAATAAAGAAAATGAAAGCATTATTTTGCTTATATGCACATCGAAAAAAAGTTTGGCTTGAGTGCATTCATCCGTATACGTCAGATAAAGCATAATCATATATTATTGAGACACTCTGTTTTTTTTTCCCCATAAAA